TGTCAGGAGCACATACTGGAGCACATAACGAAGCACATCGCTCTACGTTACTTCCTTGCTCTAGAGCTGCAGCAGCGTGGCCAGCTTCGTCTTGCTTACGTGGCCACTTGGGCCAACACTGCTGATATATTCACCAAGGCGCTTCCGCCTGGTGATCATCAGCATTTCTGCACTTTGTTAGGCCTTGTTCCCACGCTTCCTCACTTGCTGTAGGCTTTGTTTGTACTGTGATCTATATGTATACCTGCATGCTTGCTCTTGTAGGTAGATATCACTGTGCTGTTGTTGTTACACATATATCTCTGCATGTGAACTGGCCTTGTGGCCTTTTGCTTGTGCTCAGACTGCGTGGTGACGTTGTGATCCACCCTGAGCTTGTTTTGCACTTCCTGTCTGGCCTTGTGACCCTCTGTTCTCCCCCACTTTGCCTATGGGGGTGTGTCAAACATATGTTTGTATGTTATAGTTCAGGTAGGCTTTAGTGGGGTACTCACTGTGGGGTACAACCTTTTCCTTTTGTACCAAACTCTCGATAGTCCAACCACCTTGCCTAAGATTCTAACAATGTTTACTCCAGCTCGTCACATATTTCGTCGCTCGCCAACCAGTCACGGAGGCCTATGTCAAACTTATATATGCTATAGTCTGTTTAGGATGTAGTGGGGTAGTCCTTAGAGGGTACAACACTTTTGTGTTTGCTACTTGTACCCCACCTGTTTCCTAGTTCACTCATTCCTCTCATGATTCTCACATGGTATAGAGATGGTTCGAGTTTTTTTTGGGCCCACCACTACAAATATTTTTTTTCCTTACCTGCCCGAGGTGCGTGTCGCGTTTGTCCTAGCAGCGCCCTCGCGCCTGCCCTTCAAGGCCCTTAGTGGCCCGTCGCTGCCCCTTCGCGGCCCTTAGCGGCCCCTCTTAAGGCCCTTCGCGGCCCCTCTTAAGGCCCTTCGCGGCCCCTCTTAAGGCCCTTCGCGGCCCCTTTTCAGGCCCCTCGCGGCCCCTCTTAAGGCCCTTCACGCCCCCCCCCTTTAGCGACCCGTTGCGGCCCTTCGCGGCCCCTCTAACGGCCCTTCGCGGCCCCGTCACGGCCCTTCGCGGCCCCTTTAGCGACCCGTCGCGGCCCCGTCACGGCCCCATCACGGCCCCGTCACGGCCCTTTGCGGCCCCTTCAGCGACCCGTCGCGGCCCCTCGCGGCCCCTCACGGCCCTTCGCGGCCCCTCTGTCGGCCTGTCGCGGCCCCGTCACGGCCCTTCGCGGCCCCTTTCGCGGCCTGTCGCGGCCCCTCACGGCCCTTCGCGGCCCCTCTGACGGCCCGTCGCGGCCCCTTCTCGGCCCCAACTAACGCGCCCCAGCTGGCGCGCCCCCGGCTGGTTCCTGCTGACGATCCCCTGCCGGCCCCTGCTGGCGCGGCCCCTCCTGGCGCGCCTCTGCGGGCCCCTGCTAACGTACTCCTACTGGCGCGCCCCTGCCGGCCCCTGCTGACGCGCCTCTGCCGGCCCCTGCTGACGCGCCCCTGCCGGACCCTGCTGACGAACCCCTGCTGGCGCGGCCCCTGCAGTCATGGCCCGCCCCTGCACCTGTCTCTGGTAAGCCGAGCCGCGCCGCCCAGCCGAGCCGCGCCGCCCGGCCGAGCCGCGCCGCCCGGCCGAGCCGCGCCGCCTAGCCGAGCCGCGCTACTGCTGCTACTATTGCACTGCTGCTACTGCTGCTACTGCTGCTACTGCTGCTCCTCTTGCTACTGCTCCTACTGCTGCTATGGCTAGTCCTACAGTTCTCACTTTTGACACTGAGGGACGTGCAATTGACTTTGACGTATGGGTTGATGACCTACAGCTCTTTCTTCAGTGTGATTCTAGGGATGGGGTATCCCTTTTCGATCACACGTCCGGTGTTTCCACTGCTCCTGCTGCCAGTGCTGACAGTACTGTTCGCTCGCAGTGGACCACTCGTGACGCTGTTGCTCGTCTTGCTGTTCGTAGTCACCTGCCGCCTGCTGAGCGCGCGCACTTTGGCCAGTACAAGACTGCTCAGTCTTTGTACGACGCTGTAGTTGCACGCTACTCCTCCCCTGCCACTGCTGCCCTCAGCCGCCTCATGCTATCGTACCTTTTCCCTGACCTTGCTGCCTTTGCCACTGTCGCTGACCTAGTTGCTCACCTTCGCACTAGTGACGCCCGCTACCGCGCTGCCCTTCCCACTTAGTTCTGTGCCAAGAACCCCCCCCCCATGTACATCACCCTTTACTACCTAGTCACCCGCCTCCCTGACTCTCTCTCTTCAGTCAGGGACCACTTTCTCTCCCTTTGCCCCACCGAGCTGACTGTCGACCTGCTAGAGGAGCGCCTTGCTGTAGCTGAGAAGATTATCCTAGCTGTAGGTGCTTCTCGCGGCGACCGTCGCACCCCCTTCTTTGAGGGGTGTTCCCCTGTCCCCCTTCTCCCCTCTGTTGCTTCTGCTGCTGCTGTCGACCTCGTTGGCACCGAGGAGGTCGGCGCTGCGTCTGCCTCTAGTGGGAGACGCCGCACCAGCAAGGGCAAGGGGAGCAAGGGTGGTGGAGGGGGCGGCGGGGGAAGTAGTGGAGGAGGTGGAGGCGGCGGAGGAGGTGGAGGTGGTGGTGGGGGTGGTACCGGGAGTGGGGGCGTCAGTGGCGGCGGTGGAGGTCGCGGCGGCGGTGGCGGAGGAGGTGGAGGCAGCGGCAGCGGTGGTGGAGGTAGCGGAGGAGGTGGTGCTGGTCGAGGTGCAGCCGCGCAGCGTGGAGGCTTTGGTGGCAGCCAGCGCCAGCAGCAGCTGCGCACCCGTGAGACCCCGTCGGTTCAGCAGCTTCGTGAGTGGTACGCTGGGCGTGGGAGGTCTGGGGGTGCAGGTCCCTGCACTTACGTTCTTCGCACCGGCACTCGTAGTGGGGAGGTGTGTGGGCTCCCACACACCACGCAGCGCTGCTTCGGTCGCTTGACTGATGCTTGGCGTACCCTGTTTCGTGACGCCGTTGAGCTTCCTCGTTGGCATGATCTGCTTCTGCAGAATGTGCCTATCTTTGATCTAGACTTTGATGCTATCCTTGCTGCCATGTATGCTCTTGCTGATAGTGCTGAGGGTGACTGTTACCTGAGTGTCTCGCCCGACCCGGGCATTGCGGCTGCTGCTCTAGGTGCTAGTGCGTCTGCTGCTCCAGGTACTAGTGCGTCTGCTGCTCTAGGTGCTGGTGAGTTTGCTCTCTCTGGTACTGCACCTGCTGAGTCCTTGCACACTTTCACACTTGACTCTGGTGCTTCGCGCTCTTTCTTTAGAGACAGCACCACGCTCACGCCGCTCAGTCGGCCTGTTGCGGTCTCCCTTGCTAACCCCTCCGGGGGCCCAGTCCTTGCACACTCCTCCACGGTTCTACCGTGTCCTGCGGCCCCGTCGGGCTTGCTGTCGGGACTCCACCTCCCCTCGTTCTCTACGAACTTGGTGAGTGGAGCTGACCTCCAGGACGCGTGGGTTGACCAGTTCACCCCTGGAGGTCAGCGTGTGACCCACTGCACTTGCTCTCGGACAGGCCGCCACCTGGCCACGTTCACCCGTCGGCCAGGGTCGAGTCTGTACACACTGACTACTGCGCCTCCTCCGGTCCCTGCGTCTGGTCAGGTAGCTGCGTCCAGTCAGGTGTTTGCTGCCGCGTCCAGGTCTAGTCCTGCGTCTGCCCCCTGCTCGTGTCGTCCTCTGGCGCACGAGACTCTCCTTTGGCACCACCGCCTTGGTCACCCCTCCCTGCCTCGTCTTCGAGGTATGGCCTCCCGTGCTCTTGTCTCTGGACTCCCCAGGTCCCTCCCTCCCCTTCCTCCGGGGCCTGCCCCCACCTGTGTTCCTTGTGTCGAGGGCCGGCAGCGCGCCGCTCCTCACTCCTCGTTTCCTCCGACTGAGGCCCCTCTGCAGACTCTTCACATGGACGTGTGGGGCCCAGCCCGCGTCCGTGGACAGGGTCACGAGCGTTACTTCCTGCTGGTCGTTGACGACTACTCGCGTTACACCACAGTCTTCCCCTTGCGCAGCAAGGGTGAGGTCCCTGAGGTGTTGATCGACTGGATCCACGGTGCTCGTCGCCAGCTTAGTGAGAGTTTCGGCTCAGACCTTCCTGTTCTGCGTCTGCACTCAGACAGAGGCGGGGAGTTTTCCTCCGACCTCCTGAGAGCCTTCTGTCGTTCGGAGGGCATCCGCCAGACGTTCATGCTTCCGGCCTCCCCGCAGCAAAATGGGATTGCTGAGCGCCGCATTGGCATGGTCATGGACGTCGCTCGTACGTCCATGATCCATGTGGCTGCTCCCCATTTTCTGTGGCCGTTCGCGGTTCAGTACGCTGCGCATCAGATCAACCTTCAGCCTCGTGTCTCCTTGCCGGAGACCACACCTACTCTGCGGTGGACGGGGAAGGTTGGCAATGCGTCCGCGTTCCGTGTCTGGGGATCTCGAGCTTTTGTCCGCGATACTACAGCGGACAAGCTGTCCTCCCGTGCCGTTCCCTGTGTCTTCCTTGGCTTCCCTCCTGACGCACCCGGGTGGCAGTTCTACCACCCCACCTCGCGTCGTGTTTTGTCCTCTCAGGACGTCACGTTTGACGAGTCGGTGTCGTACTACCGTCTTTTTCCCTACCGCACTGCCTCTCCCCCCCCCCCCGCCGCTCTTCCTCGCACCAGGTACTCCCCCGGTAGACCCCCTCCCCCCCTAGGGTCCTGCCCCCTCAGGTGTGTCCCAGGTAGACCCTGCCGAGCCGGTCGAGGTAGCTGTCGACTCAGGTGCTGCTAGGGGTGCTGAGCCTGCGGGTGCGGGGACTGGGGGTGCTGAGACTGGGGGTGCTGAGTCTGGGGGTGCTGAGTCTGGGCTTGCTGAGCCTGGGGGTGCTGAGCCTGGGCGTGTGGAGCCTGAGGGTACTGTGTCTGGAGGTGCTGAGCCTGCGCGTGCTGCGTCTGGAGGTGCTCTCGGTGTCCCGCCGCGGCGGGAGCCTCTCTCTCCATAGCAGCTTCGTGAGTGGTACTCTCGGCGCTGTCGGGGTGCTGCTGGAGCTACTGGAGGTCCTGCTGGGGCTTCTGGAGGTGCTGCTGGTGCTGGAGGTGCTGCTGGAGCTTCTGGAGGTGCTGCTGGTGCTGGTGCTGCTGGTGGTGCCACTGGTGCTGGAGGTGCTGCTGGGGCTTCTAGAGGTGCTGCTGGTGCTGGTGCTGCTGGAGATGCTGCTGGTGCTGGAGGTGCTGCTGGTGCTGGAGCTGCTGGAGGTGGTGCTGTTGCTGGAGCTGCTGGAGGTGCTGCTGGTGCTGGAGCTGCTGGAGGTGCTGCTGGGACTGGAGACCCTGGGGCTGAGGGTACCGGTTCTGTCTCTGCTGTTTCTGGAGGCGCTGTGCGACCGCGGCCGTACTACGTTCCGCATCTTCAGCAGGTTCTTGGCTCCCCGCCTTCTCCTGGTCCTCCTCCTCCTCCTTTAATGAGTCCACCGCCTGTCCAGTCCCAGTTGCGGTTCCAGCCAGCCTCTCCACTGCCTGGTCTTTTTCCTTACTCTGGACCGACTAGTGGTCTTACGGAGCGTCGTGAGCCTGAGTCTCGTCCTGCGTCGCCTGTCCGTCCTGTTCGCGCTGGTCGTGTTTCGCGTCCGCGTCCTCCTCCTGTCCCTGGCACTCACTCTATGACTCTGCGTCCTTCCACTGCTCCACAGCGTGTCCCTCTGCCGTCTCCTCCTGCGTCCTCTCTTCTTGCCGGTCCGGACCCTGCGTCTGACTCCCTACGTGCTGCTAGTCCAGCTGTCACGCGTTTTCTGGCCACTGCTGTCACTGACCCTTTGTTTGAGTCCACTACTGCGTCTGCTCTTGATGCTGAGCTTGTTGACTTTGCTGCAGCCTGTCGCCTAGACTACGCCGCTCGTCTTGTTACTGAGTCTGCGTCTGTGTCTGTCTGTCCTCCGTTCGTCGGCGGTGAGTGTGCTCTTGGCACGGACGTTCTTGAGGACAGACAGGAGGAGTTTGAGTGCTTTGCTGCTTCTGTACCTCATCTCATGTCCATGCTGCTTGCCCCTGAGGGAGACCCGGATGCACCAGACATCCCGACCCCACGCTCTTACGCAGAGGCGATAGAGGGTCCCTACTCCTCTCAGTGGCAGGCAGCCATGGACGCCGAGATGGCTTCCTGGAAGTCCACAGGCACCTACGTCGACGAGGTTCCCCCGCCTGGGGCGAACATCGTCAGTGGCATGTGGATCTTCAGGGTGAAGCGGCCGCCGGGTTCTCCGCCTGTCTTCAAGGCGCGTTACGTTGCACGTGGCTTCAGTCAGCGACAGGGAGTTGACTTCTTTCAGACCTTCTCCCCTACCCCGAAGATGACCACTCTTCGGGTACTGCTGCACGTAGCTGCTCAGCGTGACTACGAGCTCCACTCGCTTGACTTCAGCACAGCCTTTCTACAGGGCAGCCTGCACGAGGAGATCTGGCTGCGCCGCCCACCTGGCTTCACTGGATCGTTTCCAGCTGGTACCCAGTGGAGCCTCCGGCGGCCAGTCTACGGTCTTCGCCAGGCACCTCGTGAGTGGCACGACACACTCAGGACGACTCTTGCTGCTCTTGGTTTTGCTCCTTCCACTTCTGACCCTTCTCTGTTCTTACGCACTGACACTACTCTGCCGCCGTTCTACGTTCTCGTGTACGTAGACGACCTTGTCTTTGCTACTGCTGACACTGAGGAACTCGCCCACGTGAAGTCCGAGCTGCAGAAGAGACACACGTGCACAGACCTGGGTGAACTGACAAGCTATCTTGGCTTGCGGATCACCCGGGACAGAGCACAGCGCACCATTACCTTGACTCAGTCACACATGGTGCAGCAGGTCCTTCAGCGCTTCGGCTTCACGTACTCCTCGCCACAGTCCACTCCTCTGCCTACCGGTCACTCGCTCTCAGCTCCACCTTCGGACGAGTCCGTAGAGCCGAGTGGCCCGTATCCAGAGCTTGTGGGCTGCCTCATGTACCTGATGACTTGCACACGACCTGACCTCGCATACCCTCTCAGCCTTCTGGCTCGCTACGTGGCTCTCGGCAGGCACCGAAAGGTGCACTGGGATGCTGCGAAGAGGGTGTTGTGATACTTGTGCAGTACATCGGGCATGGGGCTCGTGCTTGGAGGACGGGCTCGAGTTGTCCTCACTGGTCACGCTGACGCCTCCTGGGTTGACGACTTGGCTACGCATCGGTCGTCACAGGGTTACACCTTCAGTCTTGGCTCCGGTTCTGTCTCTTGGCGGTCTACCCGTTCTTCTTCTGTTCTCAGCTCCAGTTGTGAGGCTGAGATCTACGCTGGGGCCATGGCTGCATAGGAGCTACGCTGGCTCACCTACCTGCTGACCGACTTGGGAGAGGCGCCTCGTTCTCCTCCAGTTCTGTACGTCGACAACAAGGCCATGCTGGCCTTGTGTCAGGAGCACAGATTGGAGCACAGAACGAAGCACATTGCTCTGCGCTACTTCCTTGCTCGAGAGTTGCAGCAGCGCGGCCAGCTTCGTCTTGCCTACGTGGCCTCTCAGGCCAACACTGCTGATGTTTTCATCAAGGCACTTCAGCCTTGTGATCATCAGCGTTTCTGTACTGTGTTAGGCCTTGTACCTACTGTGCCTCACTTGCTGACTTCTTGACTCTGCTTGTACTGTACTCTATATACTTCTACCTGCATGCTTACACTTGCTAGGTTGTGTTCACTGTATTGTTTGCTTTCCTTTATATAACTCTGCATGTGAACTGGCCTTGTGGCCCTTTGCTTGTGCTCAGACTGCGTGGTGACTTTGTGATCCACCCTGAGCTTGCTTTACCTTGTTGACTGGTCTTGTGACCCCTTGTTCTCCCCCACTTTGCCTATGGGGGTGTGTCAAACTTATATATGCTATAGTCTGTTTAGGCTGTAGTGGGGTAGACCTTAGAGGGTACAACACTTTTGTGTTTGCTACTTGTACCCCACCTGTTTCCTAGTTCACTCATTCCTCTCATGATTCTCACAGCCTAAACCCAACCGAGTGTTAAACGGTTGTAAATTTGAGACGCGAGCTTTAATAAATAACGAATTCCACTTTGAATTACAATCACCAAATGTAGACGCCCTCAGCAATTGCAGCGAAATCGGCCAAACATGCATGAAAGGCACATTGTAAGGGATTTTCTCGACATTCTCTTACCGCGACCACCAACACCGCGTACAGCAGCAGCCGTTGTTCGCTCGTTACTGCTAACGGGGCTTCGCCAAATTCGCGCGCACTGTTTCACCAAACCATGCACTGCTGGCCCGGCCGAGTCGGCCTACGCTTCGGGATTAGCCCGCACCGCGTTACCGTTTGCATGTTTTGCGTATAAGTATTCGCTCATGCCTTCGCTCATATTTTGTCGTTTGACACCTAGTGTGCGGGCCTGTTTGACTTTTCCACTCCAGCATTGACTTTTCCCACACTCACTTCCTAAGGACACAAGGATATCTCCTCCCTCCCAAACTATTATGACCTTTCTTATCACCTTCGTCCCCACACCTTCTCTCTCTTCGGTAGAGGAAATTCCCAATCTTGTCTCCTGTTGACGTGACACCCAGAAATCACCGTGTTAATGCCACCTGACATAGTATCACTCCTCTTCCCTACATCCCAGCCCACCGAACCCCCTCCCTATCCGCTCCAGGGGAAGTCCCTGACGCTGTTTTCTCCACAGGATACCTGGAGTAGTTAGTTGCTCAGAATCAACAGAATTGGCCTTTACTCCTCTTCCCTACGTCGCTCCTCACCTTCCCCCCCCCCTGTCCGCACTAGAGACAAGTCCCCAACGCTGCCTTCACTCCTTTTTCTTTACGTCCCACCTTAATTCTCTCCTCTCCCCACTTTCCCACTCCCCCCACCCTCCCCCCTGTCCGCACCGGAGACTGTCCCTGACGCTGCCTCCTCGGCAGGCTACCAGGAGTAGTTGGTTATACAGATTTCTATAAACAAACCAACTTCACTCCAATCCCAACGTCCCACCTCACTTCTCTCCTCTCCTCACTCCCCCCTCCCCACCCCTCCCCCCTGTCCGCACCGGAGACTGTCCCTGACGCTGCCTCCTCGGCACGCTATCAGGAGTAGTTGGTTACACGGATTTCTAAAAACAAACCGACTTCACTCCTCTTTCCTACGTCCCACCACACTTTTCCCCCTGTCCGCACCAGAGTCCGTCCCTGACGCTGCTTTCTCCGCAGGCTACAAGGAGTTAACCTTCCTCGCACCTGCTGACTTTGCTTGGGCAAAGGCAGCTTTCCGACCGCAGGTCTCTGCAGCCGATCGCCAACAGCTCGCAAAATATCACATCTTAACAGGACTCTACAGCTTTGCGCAGCTTAAAGCCTTGCCCAACCGCAGCAAGATACCCACTACAGCGGGGAAGAGCATAATGAAGCACAGTGTGCGGGCCAGTTGGTATTGGAATCCCGGTATGAGTGTGGCAGTGAGCAGCCCGGGGGCGCAGCAGCTGTATTGGGCGCAGATAGACACAAGGAAGCTGTTCAACGGCAAGTATGTGAAGGGGCATGTCATTGGCTGTGTTCTTGTGCCGCCCAGCTGATGCTTGCCCAATGAAACAAGCTGCACTTGACTGCTGGCAACTGCTCCAATTTCACATCACATTTAGACACTCACATGTACTGATTTGTCACGGTGCTTCCATACTACCTACGTTGAGTTGCGGTTGCAATGGTGGACGGGGTACGAGTGCTATAGGTGTTTCATGTGCTCCGTTAAAGCTCGTGTCTCATATTTACAAGCGTTTTACACTTGTACCCGGACGTTTAACAATTGGTTACGCATGTCCGTGATTGGTGAAGCCAGATGTTTACCCCAGCTCGTCACATATTTCGTCGCTCGCCAACCAGTCACGGAGGCCTAAACCCAACCGAGTGTTAAACGGTTGTAAATTGGAGACGCGAGCTTTAATAAATAACGAATTCCACTTTGAATTACAATCACCTAATGAAGACGCCCTCAGCAATTGCAGCCAAATCGGTCAAACGTTCATGAAAGGCACATTGTAAGGGATTTTCTCGACATTCTCTTACCGCGACCACCAACACCGCGTACAGCAGCAGCCGTTGTTCGCTCGTTACTGCTAACGGGGCTTCGCCAAATTCGCGCGCACTGTTTCACCAAACCATGCACTGCTGGCCCGGCCGAGTCGGCCTACGCTTCGGGATTAGCCCACACCGCGTTACCGTTTGCATGTTTCACGTATAAGTATTCGCTCATGCCTTCGCTCATATTTTGTCGTTTGACACCTAGTGCAATCCTCGCTATCTCGTACCATTGCACCCGTAACACTTGGTTATCAGAGCCACTTTCTTGCAGACCTCGCATCTCCGCACCCTAGGAAATCAACTTTTGATATTTGCTCGAAGGGACTCACGCCCCTTAGCCCCTAGGAGCCGCTGTCTTCGCGTTCTCTCGTAAACGCGTGCAGCCACGACTGCGTCTAGAACTAAGCTGAGCCGACGCACTTCGACATGGCCGCGCTGTCAAAATAAGGAAACAC